CACACACACACGCACACACACACACACACACATGCTATGAACATGACTGTCTGTAGAAATTTGGCCAACACTCACTCACCGGAACTCCCGTGCACGCCCATACAAGCACAAAAAAAAGGGGAGAGGTACTGGAGTGTCCCGCTACCCAGAAGAAGAAACTCAACGAAAGACTCAGAGAAGTGAAGTGACAGAGTACGTAATTCAGTGAATTCTCTCCACAACAATCATTCATAGATAACAATCGAGTGATCACAAGATTCACAACCAGAAAGCAATGGAGAGATGACAACTCAAACACAGTATTAACACTGTTTATTGAACTGAGAGGATCGTTCAACTAAAATAACCTCAGAAGTTCAGAACCCTGTTGCACTACCCTGAAAGGGGTAGCGCCTCAACTCCAACACCCTAAACAGCTAAAAACAACAACGAAAGTTACGAAACCCCAGCCTCCCCACGACCCTAGGTAACACCCTGCGGGCCAGCGGCCCAGAGCCACCCTGACATCCAACTCAGTGGCCTGCGCGAAAGTGAAACGGGCTCCCAGAGCCAATCGAAGATCGCCACTCAGATGATGAAGTAGAAGCTCACCACCAACAGAACCTGATGAAGATGAAGTCCAAACGATGATAATCTCTGAGAAGATGCAGCTATGTCTGGATCGCCACAGGGAGTCCGGGAGCCTGGGACCCTACTCCTGAGGAGGGTCAACTCTGACTCAGCAGTGCAGCACGTACTCCAACGCACCAGACCTCTGATAGCCGAGACCTCTGGTGTCCACATCCTATCTATAATCTACATATAGCCTAGACCGACCTAGACCAGATTGACTGACCAGTTTTGGCCTCTAAGGCCTAACCCTACCCGGCCAAGGGCTATAGGACCGTCTATCAGCATAGGCCTCTAGGGCCTGTCTGTCCTAGGGGTAGCCCGGGTCTGCTATTCGCAGTTTGGGTAGCAGTAGCCTGTAGCCTGTAGGGAAAATGAAGTTGGTACTGGGCCCATATTTTTATATTTACAGATATGTACCTCGTGAATTTTCCATACAGGCAGGTAGAGACTCTAGGGCCTCTAGGGCCTAACCCTACCTGGCTATAGGCTATAGGACCGTCTATCAGCATAGGCCCGTAGGGCCTGTCTGTCCTAGGGGTAGCCCGGGTCTGCTATTCGCAGTTTGGGTAGCAGTGTCCTGTAGCCTGTAGGGAAAATGAAGTTGGTACTGGGCCCATATTTCTATATTTACAGTTATGTACCTCGCAAATTTTCCATACAGGCAGGTATCTCGGTCGGTCTTTTGCCAAACAAAGAATGATAGAGAGCAGTGAACACTAAACACAGAGTCTCTCTCTCTCTCTCTCTCTCTCTCTCTCTCTCTCTCTCTCTCTCGTGTCTCCGGGATTCCCCCCCGGCTGCTGATGTGGCAGTGATGTCCCTCGGGCCAGTCTTTGCTCCCCCAGTCTGCGCAACAGAGAACGAGCTTGCGCCCGTCGATCAATAGGCCACAAATGTGCCACTGGGGTGCAATGACCTTCCGGGCCAGGTCCAGTACTCATCCTCACGCGACGACCTCCATCGTCATCTCCGTCCGCCGTCCGGATCCTCGGGACGTAATCGGAGTCATCATGATCGTCGGTGCCTGTGGTCTCACCGCCCTCAACGACCGTGGAGCTGTCGTCGTGGATGATGATCGTGCCGCCTCGTCTCTTCTCACCTCGACCTGATTCGTCCACTCTGTCACCTCCCTCCCCCCGCCCTGTCCATCTGCGGCAGCTGGCATCTGTCTGGTCTCGTCCCTGTTGCGGAAAAAAGGTTGCGGGCGGCCCCGGTGATATGGAATCGACACACCTGTTCCCTTCTTCCTCACCCGTGATAGCCTCGCAGTTGCCGTCCTGGTGTCGTGGACATCGATCGTCTTGGCCCGTATAAGCCTCCCATGCTGCCCCTCGTAAGCTCTCATGGAATCGTGACAAGTGCCATCGACGTTGCCGATCAATCACGCCGCCGCGGGCACATCTGCAGGTCCGCATGCTGATGTCTGTCCGATATCGCCCGCCTTCCGGTCCATGCCCGCACCGTCGTAGAAAGACCTCGTGGGCAATGCGCTCGGCGCGGCCTGCTCGTGGGCGGCGGGGTCAGCGGCAGGGGGGCGTGAGGGTGGTGGACGCATGATGTCACGCATCCCCATCACATGCGGTCGAGGCTCATTTGTGTGCCCGTCTCCAACGTCATGTGTGTTGGGCCTAACAATGCTCGGGTGTGCGGTCGATGACTCTCTGCGCTCGATGCCCCCCCCGAAGGACCGTCCGCCATTTGCGCTCCCTAGCTACACCGTATCCTGGCTCACGCCCTCGCCTCCATCCGAGTGGATAACTCTGGGAGGCCTCGCCTCTAAAGTCTCCGCTGGGCCTCGATGTGGCTCTCGCTGCGGGCCCTCTTCCGGTGGACGGACTGATGATACGCCGTCCGTTAACAGCTGCGAACCATGATCCCCCTGCGCCAAAAAATCTCCAGACGCTGCCTCTAGTGAACCTCCCAAACTTCGTTGTGCTGCGACGGGCGGTCCACCACGTGCCACCTCCTCCGCCAACCCCTGCTCCACCGCCCACATAGCACTGACATGAAAAATGGCGGGAGTGCCGGAATGTGGAGGATGCAGTATCGTGTCGCCGCTGAACTCGTCGAACCCTCTATCACGACGCGCGTCATCTCGTCCAGCATGCTCCGGTGGTGCCACAACCGGCAAAGTGGGAGATATCAGTAGCGATACATCGGGCAGAGATGCCAAGGCGGAATCCATGGTGAATAGCTCGTCGGTGCGCGGAAGACTGTCGAGCGGGCAGTCGATGCCGACGAGGTGGCCCGTCGGAGGACGTTCGTCCTCCCTGTCCTGTCCACAAGTGGGAGTGGGTGCAACCTCTCCATCCTTTGGACCGCCGTCACTCGTGTGAGGAGGCGGCTCACGTCGTGACTCCTCGTCCTCCAAACCCACTCCTGTGGAGTGGACTAGGGCGCCTGCTGTAGTGCACCAAGTCTGCCCCTGGCGGAGTGGGCCGGGTCCTCCGAACTCCGTCTCCTCCTCAGTGCCAACAACCGGCGCTGGTGACCCCATGAATGATCCTAAGCCCAGTATCGTCCTCCGTCACCATCACATCATTGTTTGAGGCTTACGCCTCTGCGTGAACCGGGTCACGGCGCGTCTCGTTGGAAGGATCTCCCATCTCGTCCTCTGACACGGCAACCGGGTCCTGCCGCATGTCACGTGCCCCATGTCGATCGCAATCTGGACACGACGTCTGCGCACACGAGACGCAATACTCTCATCCCGCCTGCCCCCGTGTCTCAACCGCTTCAAAACGAAGCGACCACCAGACGTGCCATTGTCGTCCACACGCTCCTCAACCCTGTCGCCACGGCACCCGCTCCGTCCACCATC